GACTTTAGACTTCAGACATTGGTTCCGAGCTTCGCTAGTAGCCAACATTGCTTTTGCGTTCCTCCTCTTAGAATCACTTTGTTTTTGCTTTATTCTTTAATCTTTAGTTTATACAGTTAGCTACCTTTTTACTGTAAATGCATCTGCCGGTTAAGAAACATAAAATCATAGTTAAAAATTGTCAATTAAAATACAATTATCAATGATGCTTTAAAATTGACGCCATATTTAAGCTGAGCAATATAAGCAAAACTTACTGAACTTCACTACATAATTTTCTCTTTGGCGTAGTCTAAAATCTTTTCAATTTAGCATTATTTTACAGATAAAGCACTAAACATACTTTTTAAGTTCGTTGCCGTTTGAGAAACGTTTCGAAAAATAAAAATTGAGTCATAACCTCAAGTGGTATATTATACGCATTAGTTTTGAGCGCGTGTTATACTTAACTTGATAAATTTACAGAATAAAGTTAATAAATTTACTGCAGTAATAAATTTATGTGGTGTTTCTACAAACAATTATAGTATTATATGTTTTATCGTTCTGCCTTTAAACCTGCAAAGAACTGTCAGAACTCACTGACACATTCCAACAGTCTGCATTTACAATCTAAATCATTCTGAACATTTTTAATTATATAGTTTGAAAAATAGCTTTGACTGAATAAGTGCCTTAAATATTAGCCAGCTTCGCAGAAGAAATGTTGGCTATTAGCGAAGCTCGGAACCAATGTCTGAAGTCTGAAGTCTGAAGTCCCTTCACGGCTTCCGTAAAATTGCGATTTGTCAAGTTGAAAATTGCGATTTGTGTCATTTGTCAAGTTAAAATTGTGATTTGCCGCCGCTTGTACAAAAGCCGCCAAAATTATGTCATACAAACTTTGTCATAATGATTAATGACGTCATTTTGAAATACTTGGAATCTTTGATTCTTTGATCGTGTCAAATTGACAAATTCATCATGGAGGAAGAATTGAAAGCCGTGAAAAATTCGCTTACTCGTGTGGCTGACCGCCCAGGTATGTCAAACGTCTTTGCCAATGGTGTGAACATTAATGTTTTTTAGATGAATATGGTTTGATTATAAATACGAAGATCAATAACTTAATTGTGCCTTTATATTGTGTGGCGGTTTTGCTGGCCGATGGCGTGATGGCAGCAAATTGTTGTTTATATTGGTGTTGTCTAAATTCGTTCAATCGTTCATTCATTTCTGCCAGCCAGCATTACAGCAATAAGTAAACAAAACAAGTCACTCATATTCAACAATATTTTATTGTTGTGCATATTGAATTATTTAAATTATGTTGATTTTGCTGTGTTGGTGTAATGTACTCAAGTGAATAAGATGCTTGTGATGTTTGAGTGTATACCCACACCAGGCAGGCTTGACAAATATGCCTGGCCACGATGGGAATAATAATAATAATAATAATAATAATAATAATACGAATATTTTAACAGGATAAAAACACTTCAGCAAGAATATTGCTGTTATCAACGCGTGTCCTGTGTCCAAAAACTACTTTAGTAAAAATCTATAATAGGTTAAAAATTGAAAGTTCAAGATGTTCTAAGCAGTTCATTAAAATATATATTAGCTGAAATGTAGTTTTAATAGTTTATAAAAATCTTCAGAACTTGTTGCAGATCTAATATTCAATGGCAGCTCATTATATAATTTAGCTCCCATGAAATAGAATCCTCTTCGTGCATATTCAAGTTTTATGGTTGGTAAGTTTATCAAACAACCTCGGTTTCGTGTTTCACGTCCATGATCTTTAATTACAAAATGATCCATTAAGGCCTCCGGGATATTGCCATCTAAAGTCATTCTAACTATTTCACAGGCACGCTTCTTCCTTAAATCCATAATCGATGGGAGCTCTGTATCAGGTCGAAAATCCTTAAAAATAACTTTAGTGGCTCGTTCCCGAAAAGAAGCTAATTTATGCAGTTGTGTTGACGTTAATTTAAGATTCAAAATTCCACAGTATGTCAAAAGCGGTGTGATCATTGACTGATAAATCGTTCTCGCCGAGTCCACGTGATATTTCGGAACTGAGTCTAGTTCCTTCGATATCAATGTAATCTAATAATCATGATTTTGCTGTGTTGGTGTATTCCGATTTGTGTTGGTGTAATCATGATTTTGCTGTGTTGGTGTAATTGGTAATATCACGTACTCGTACGGACCTGACCGCGTAGCTCAGTAAGTTGGCAGAGCAGTGGGCTAGTATTCCAAAGGTTGTGGGTTCGATTCCCACCGTGGCCAGGCATATTCGTCAAGCCTGTCCGGTGTGGATATACACTCAGAGTAACATCACACAAGCATCTTATTCACCTGAGTACATTACACCAACACAGTAAAATCAACATAATTTAAATAATTCAATATGCACAACAATAAATAAAATATTGTTCAATATGAGTGACTTGTTTTGTTTACTTAATAGACAGGTTCAGATTTGACTTCCACTACCGCTACCTCTACCACTAAGAGACCATCAACCAATCAGATACGCATGATATATCCGATTAACCAATCAGTTGCGTACTAAGTCAGTGAGAGGTAGTGGCAGCGGTAGTGGAAGTCAAATCTGAACCTGTCTATTGCTGTAATGCTGGCTGGCAGAAATGAATGAACGATTGAACGAATTTAGACAACACCAATATAAACAACAATTTGCTGCCATCACGCCATGTGCCAGCAAAACCGCCAAACAATATAAAGGCACAATTAAATTATTAATCTTCGTATTTATAATCAAACCATATTCATCTACAAAACATTAATGTTCACACCATTCAAAGAAGTTTGACATACCTGGGCCAGAACGACAACTTTCGACTCGTTCTAGAGTGTCAGCCACACCAGTAAGCGAATTTTTCACGGCCTTCAATTCCTCGTCCATGATGAATTTGTCAATTTGACACGATCAAAGAATCAAAGATTCCAAGTATTTCAAAATGACGTCATTATGACAAAGTTTGTATGACGTAATTTTGGTGGCTTTTGTAAAGCGGCGGCAAATCGCAATTTTCAACTTGACAAATCGCAATTTTCAACTTGACAAATCGCAATTTTCAACTTGACAAATCACAATTTTCAACTTGACAAATTGCAACTTCGAATTTGACAAATCGAAACTTTCAACTGTGCAAATCGCAACTTTCAGTGTAGCGAATTGCAACTTTTGATATTTAGATTTTTCCACCAAGTTCATTGTTGCGTGCAGGAAAGTCGTTAAATGTTTGTGTGGTAAACAATTGTCAAAAGCCGTATGAAAATTATGGGCAAAATTAAATGTTGATTCCTCATATTAAAAGTCGAATTGCAATATTGATTTTTGGCGGTGATGGAACGCCATAGTAATATACTTGAAACATTAATAAACTTCCTTTAATCGTTTGTACCATAGATATAGGCACAGTTAATAAAATAAGATGGTTTGGCTAGCCGGACACGCCCCCAATTATGTTATTGTTCTCAGTTATTTGGGTCACGTGATCTTTTTAGTGCATGGGGTGTTAAATCACAAGTCAAAAACAATAGAGCTTTGTATTGCCGCAACGTATTTCTGTTCGAAAACTGCAACGTTATACTCACTGGGTCGCTAATTTTCAGAGTTTTACAGTTGGCACACAATGCCAGGTGCCAACTGTGCTTTAGTGGGGTGCTCAACTAGTCGAAAGAGTGATCTTTCACTATTTAAATTGCCTTTTGCCGGTGTCAAGCGAAATTCCTGACCTCTGCGAAATACCTGACCAAGCCATAACGGGTCAGAAATTTCGCGCGTGCAGGCGCGAAATACATGACGCTTGCTAAATTCTATGTCGGCCAAAACTGTTTTTTAGAGTTTAGATAAAATAATCATGATATGTTAATTGCTAATACTTCGTTAAATATTTCAACTCGACATCGCTAAGTTTCAATCATAAACACTTTAAATTTCCGAAAGCGAATTGTGTGGTCGTGACCGCGAAATACACGACGTTTGCTAAATACAATCGGTCAACGATTTTTAAGTCCATATGCGATGTTACCACAAATGTTTCTAATATAGACATCGCCAAATCTAAACGGCCAACTCGGCAACTCACGAACTCATTGTACCGTTGCTGTTTGCTACTGAAATCGTGACAATTGAGAAGGTCAAACGCGAAACAATTTTTGGTGCTTATAGTAATGCTTTATAAATACACATGTTGTCTGTTGAGTTGCGAAATTTATGAGCCAAAGTTATTCATGCACATCGTCTGCGCATGGGCAGTTCTACAATAGTCAGATATTTCGCAAGTCAGGAATTTCGCGTCACACCGGGCAAGGTGACTCCGAGCTCACGGTGAACTTAAAGACGGATGCGCGTAAAGAATGGCTTCGAGTAATTCGTAGGACAAGGGAAATGACACCACAGCTGAAGACGAAGATTGAAAAAAACACTATCTTTTTGTGTGAACGCCATTTTAAACCTGAAGTGATTTTTCAACGTAAGTATTGACCTCTCAATTTTGCGCAAATTTATGGTAATTAGACACTTCGTATATCATTTACATGTATTAAAATATCAGTTGTTATTAACTGTAGGATAAACATTGTGCAAACTGTTTATAGTTTACTTTCAATTCTTTTTCAGATGCGAAAAGAAAGTCCTTAGCAACTGGTGCTGTTCCTACGGAAAACCTCCCGTTAAAAAGTCATGAGTCGAAGCCAAAAACACGACGGCCTCTTGTGCGACAGAATACCGCGGAAGCTTGCTCGACATCAGAAGGTTCGCCACCCGTTGAGATGACAAGTGCGGATTTAATTTCCGATGAAAGCCTGGAAGAGTTTGCCAGTAAGATAAAAGAAAAGATACCAGATCCATGGGTCATCACAACGTGCAACAACACGGAGATTAGAATAGAACTTTGGGATTCCAGTTACTCGATTCCAAGATACATTCTACATGTTGATTCGGGCTTGCAGTTTTCGCTACATGTTTACAATTGGCTGCTACCTGATATCCATCCTTTATACACTACGCACCGACGACGAATGGACTCTGCTAGAGTTGTTGACTTTTTGGAAGCTATCAGAGGTGAAAAATATCTCATTTGCGAAGGATTACGCCAAGATGAGCATGTACAATCTATTGCTAAAGATCCAGGTGACGCGAGCCATACGTCCTTCAGCAATTCTGATGTTATGCGGCATTCTATTCCAAACAGAGTCGATATGGATTCAAATTTTGGAGTTCTGGTAGTTTTTCGTTGTGTAGGTTGCCAGCTATTACTCGGCAGACAAGTTGATGAAGAGCAAGTGATTTGTGATCCATGCAAGAAGTTACAAAAGAATATTTTGGTGCAACAAAATCGAAAGAGTCGTTCTTCTAGTGCCCCTGCTAAAGCTAAAGCTCCATTGACTGCCTGTAGCTCAGAAAAACTTAGAGCAACAGTGGTAGCTAAGCGTTTGGAGTGTAAACAATTGGAAGATAAAATGAAAAAGCTGCAAGATAAAATAGAAAAGAGTGCTGTGAGTGTGAGTGAGCCCCTTGAAAAGGATCTGATGACCATCATGAGCGGACAGAATCTAGATTCCACCCCACACATGAAGTTCTTCTGGGAACAACAAATTCACCTCCTGAAAACCAAGAAAATGGGCCGTAGGTATCATCCACAAATGATACGATTTGCACTATCAATACATTGCAAATCTCCTTCTGCATATCGGGAGCTTAGAGACAGTGGAGCTCTAATATTACCAAGTGAGCGTGTTCTTCGAGTTACAAGAACTATTTTAAACCTGGAGCTGGCATCATTAAAGAAAACATTGAAGAATTGAAAGAGCAAACTTCAAAATTTACTGGGATCCAAAAGTATGTTGCAGTCGTCATGGACGAGATGAAAATTCAGGAAAATCTTGTTTTTGACAAAACCTCCGGTGAACTGATCGGTTTCATTGATCTTGGGGATCCATTAACGACCTATGCCAATGTAGATGAAGAAACCCCTATTGCATCCCATGCACTGGCTTTCTTGGTTAGGGGGCTTTGCACTAATTTGAAGCATGTTGTTGCCTATTATTTTACTGGCAATGTGACATCATTTCAGTTGCTTCCATTGTTTTGGAAAGTAGTTGGAGTGCTTGAAACAACAGTAAAATTATGGGTAATAGCAGCTGTTAATGACGGTGCTTCCCCTAACCGGAAACTCTTTGCACTCCACTCAAAGCTTGGCGGCACACTACCAGATGGTCTTGTTTACAAGACACCCAACCTCTTCTTCCTGGCTCGGATGATCTATTTCTTTGCAGATGTGCCTCATTTGATCAAAACTGCCAGAAACTGCCTCTATAACTCTGGGTCAGGATTGTGTAGTCGGTACATGTGGAATGATGGTCAATATCTATTGTTTCGGCACATTGCAGACCTGTTTCACCATGATCAGCAGTATGCTTTGCACCAATTACCAAAACTTACACTGGATCATGTTCTGTTGACTGGCTACTCCAAGATGAAGGTACAAACTCTGTTTTATTTTAGTATTAGACTAATTTAGTGTGACCATTACTGTTCTTTATTTTTTCTTGCAACTTTGCTCCAGTGACACAGGGCTCTATTGATACCATGCAGTGTTACTACACTGAACAGGCTACCCTGTTGAAATAAAATTATACCTATCTATCTATCTAATATCCATCTATCTATCAGTTGTCTCATTCCCAGTGTTTTCAAGTGTATGGCTTATATCCTCATGTTTTTGTACCACGTTTCTCAAACATAAGATATGAAGATATAACCGAATGAAAACATTACTGTTGGGGCAATGTGCAATGTATGAGAAGATCTAATGCATGTCTGTAAATTGTTTTTAGGGTTTTGGCTGTTAATTTCTTTATCTTTCTTAACAGGCTGTTGTCTGATGATTGCTATTTTTGATTAGCGAATGCAGATGACCTTTAACCCATTGACTGGTGATGCACCCTACTTTAGTATTTTACTCTGTCTAATGCCAGATGATTTTACTCGTCAAGGGAAGAGCGCTGGCGCTTAATGGGTTAACTGGCCTATGTGACCATGTGTCCAGTTAACACATTGAGTGGCGATGCACCCTGATGCACCCTACTTTAGTATTTTACTTTGTCTAACGCCAGACGGC